TCACCACTGCCAACACTGCCAGGCAGCGGGAGTTTTCTGCAGACTATTGGTGCTCCTGCCTCCTTATCCATTTGTCTCTAAACTTCCCAGTCCCTAGGGATGTGCAGGACCCAGTGGTGTGGGCCACTGGGTCCACAGATCCAATTAAATGCCTGTCCCTGGCCTTGTGCACAGTGAATGTGTAAGTCTATGAAAGTGAGTTAATAAAGAAACTGGAAAGGACCAGAGGTCACCAGAGGTCACCAGATGTCACCAGAGGTGGCCAAAGCCAGAACCCTGTATTCATTAACTCTTGCAAGGATAAAAGTCCATGAGGAAGAGGAAAAGCTCAGGGTGCCAGACAGGCTGCACAGAGATAAGGCAGGACTCAATCCCCTGGCCAAATGGCAGATAATGACTAGGTAGGCAAAATCACCCTGCAAAGCCAGGTGACATGAAGAGAACAGAGAAAACCACATGGGTTCTGGAACCAGACTGCTCCTTTAGGTACTAGCTGTGTGACTTTGGATAAGGTATTGAAACTTTCTGTGCCTTTGTTTCTTATCTGGGAGACAGAGACAATACTACTTATCTTCTACACTAGATGTGAACAGTAAATAGGTTACTACATATAAATCACTTAGAACAGTGCCTGGCACAGAGTAAGAACACTGTAGTGTGAGCAAGTAGTATTATTTTCTGCATTTCATCTTAGCTAAAAGTCCAAAAAGCAAGTCGGATATTGTTTTGTGAAATAGAGATCATGTTAGTAGATTGTTACAATAGCTAGTTTCCTCTGGAATCCCCTCATGAGATATACAGGAACACAGCCACAGGCATTAAATGTTGGCATATGTATGTTATGTATGTGTGTATTAGTAAAAGTTATGAGTATGTGCAACACTGGAAGGAGTATGGATTGGCAGTTATCAAGGTCTGTCAATAATTAAATCAACAAATGGTCAGTCACCTTTGAATCTATACACACTTTAAATTGAGTATGGGGGCCCTCCTGCTCCTCCTGTCCCTCCTCCAAGCAAGGACTAGGTTTGCACCCTTCCTTGGGCCGCCCTGCCTAAGCATGGTCCTAAGGAGCCTCCCTGAGCCCTCCCTGGCCCTGTTGTGTCAGGCTGGCTTCTTATGGCTCTCAGGAAATGGTGGCTTCCCTCTTCCTGCTGTTGGAGGAAATTTGGCCTCCCTGGGGCCAGTTTTGGCTTTAAAACTGGGTGTCATGGCTCATGCCTATAATCCTAGCAATCTGGGAGGCTGAGGCGGGTGGATTGCCTGAGCTCACCGGTCTGAGACCAGCCTGAGCCAGAGTGAGACCCTGTCTCTAAAAAGAGCTGGGTGTTGTGGCGGGCGCCTGTAGTCTCAACTACTCAGGAGTCTGATGCAAGAGAATCACTAGAGCCCAAGAGTCTGAGGTTGTTGTGAGCTGTGATGTCTTGGCACTCTACCAGGGGCAACAAAGTGAGACTCTGTCTCAATAAGTAAATAAATAAATAAAACAGTGGAGAAGTGAAAGTGTCTAGCCCCAGAGAAATAATGCTGGCTCAGCCCAAAGTGAATGTGCTTAATCTTTTGGGGACTCAAGTTTCCCTTATCTTCAGTTCTGGAGAGAAATGGTAGCTACTTTCATATTTTCTCACTAGGTAGATATTTAGGGGAAAGATCAACTGAGGGTTTATTGTCCCTCTATTCCTTCATGCTCTGTCTCAAATACAAACTCCCCAGAAGAAAAGATCTGAGCATGAAGCTCCCCAATGGGCCAATCAGGGATGGCCAGGTCACAAGACCGAAGGTTAGCCAATATACCAGTAAGGCACCACACGGTGGCTTTTCTCTCAAAGGGACTGGGTAATGATGGGAAGTTTGAGGCAGATCCAGCATACTACAAACATTTTAATTTTAAACTTTATTTATGAATAGGTAATGTGTTTCCACACATTTACATGGTTAAATGTTTGAAGGTTATAAAAAGACATTCAGTGGATACACTCCTTTTGTCTGTTTGTATGTTTTGGGTTTTTATGTTTTTGAGACAGAGTTCACTCTGTTGACCCAGGCTAGAGTACCCAGGTTTCATAGTTCATAGCAACGTCAAACTCCTGGGCTCAAGCAATCCTCTTACCTCAGCCTCCCACATAGTTGGGACTACAGGCACCCGCCACAATGCCCAGCTAATTTTTCTATTTTTGGTAGAGATGAGGGTCACACTCTTGCTCAGGCTGGTCTTAAACTCCTTAGGCCCAAGCAATCCACCTGCTTCAGCTTCTCAGAGTGCTAGGATTACAGGCATGAGCCGCTACACTGGTCCTCTCTCCTACTTTTGAACCCCACCCCTTCACTACCTAGGAAGCAAGCAATGTTCAATGTTATCATTTTGTAATATGTGTATATCCTTCCAGGGAGATTTTGTATAATGAAATAATATACAGGCACTTTATCCTCATCCTTTTGCTCCTTCAAAAGGAGTCCTAGAGGGGTACACAAAGAGCATTCTCTCTTTTCTTTTTTTTTTTTTGAGACAGAGTCTCATTATGTTGCCCTTGGTAGAGTGCCATAGTGTCATAACTCTCAGCAACCTCAGACTCCTGGGCTCAATTGATTCTCTGGTCTCAGCCTCCCAAGTAGCTGGGACTACAGGCACCCACCACCAGCTATTTAGAGAAGGGGTCTTGCTCAAACTCCTAAGCTCAAGCAATCCACCCATCTTGGCCTCCCAAATTGCTAGGGTTACAGGTGTGAGCCACAGCACAGGCCCATTCTCATTTGTTTTTATGGCTCTGCTTTATTATGTTTCAAAACACACTGAAGCAGTTTTGTTTTTTTTTTTCTGAGACAGAATCTCATTATGTCACCCTCGGTAGAGTACCATGGCATCACCGCTCACAGAAACCTCAAACTCTTGGGCTTACGTGATTCTTGTGCCTCAGTCTCCCAAGTAGATGGGATTACAGGCACCTGCCACAATACCCAGCTATTTTGTTGTTGTTGTTGTAGTTGTCATTATTGTTTTAGCAGGCCCGGTGTATGTGGCTGGCATCCTAACCACTGAGCTATGGGTGCCAAGCTGTCAGTTTCTTATTAATGAATGTTTAGGTTATTTTTTTGTCTCTCACGGCGCTGCAGTGAAAAGCCTTACAAATAAGCATATAGCCCTTGAAGGACCCACTGCCCCTCATACATATCCTTCAGGAGCCAGGGGTCCCTTAGTAGTTAAGAGATGTAGAATTCAGGGAGACAAATTCAAGGAGCCTGGAAACTTGGAAGGAAAAACATTTCTATCTTTAATTGCACTGCCCTCTAACTAAAAGCCTTCCCTTATCAATGAAGGCTACAAACTCACACTAGTTAGCAGTATCTGTGACTCCCTCATTTTATGCTTGAAGATATCTTGAAATATCATTTATACTTACACCTACTTTGTCATTGTGGTAGACAGTTAATAGATTTTCCATTAGGTCTAGTTATGTTATAAGGAACTTACACAGTAAAACCTCTGTAAGTTGACCACACAAGGAACTGTAAATAACTGTTTAACATAAGGAACTAGACCTACTGTACTGATAACGTACATGTGGTGCACGTCTGGTCTATGAAAATTATATCATCTTAAGGAGGTAGTCAATGTAGGGAGGTGGTCAACTATGAAGGTTCTACTGTATTACTATGGCACACATTTGGTTTTCTAAAAGAATATTTTAATGTACTTGCTTTGCTTTGTAATTTTATGGTTTTTTATTTTGGTCAATTATGCATATAAAACTTACTTTCACCATTTTTGAATATACAATTCAGTGGCATTAAGTACACTTCCATTATCATGAAGCCATCAACATCATCCATCCGCAGAAGTTTTTCATCTTCCCTGAAGCTCTGTACCTATTAAACAATGACTCTCCATTTCCCCATCCTCTGGGTACTTCACACACCTGAAATCATGATATTTGTCCTTTCATATCTGGCTTAGTCACTTAGCGTGTCTTCAAGTTGCATCCGTGTTGGAGTATGTGTCAGAATTTCATGTCTCTTTAAGGCTAAATAATATTCCTACACATACTATAGTCATATACACAACATTCTGTTTATCTTTTCATCCCATTGATGGACATTTGGGTTGTTTCCATCTTTTGATTATTGTGAGTAATTGCTGCTATGGACACTGGTGTACCCATATCTCTGCTTTCTCAATTCTTTTGGATATATACCCAGAAGTGGGATTGTTGGATCACATGGTAATTCTATGTTTGATTTTTTGAGGACTTATAAACATACCTTATTTTGCACGCTTGTTTTGGCCACTAGATGGGGTACTGTTTGGCAAGGACTGCCGGTTCCTAGTGGCTTCTTCAGTTAACCCTTCCAGAGGTGTAGTGAATGAATTCAGCTCCTAGTGGGCGTCTTGCGTGCCCGGCTCTGGTGCAGAACATACCTCAAAGGAACTCAGCCTAGAGAGAGAGTTAGGCCTGAGGATGACCGATTAAAGACAGCCAACTCCTGACTGTGTCGCTTCCTAGGTGTATGGGCTGGGGCCAGGTAACCTCCTTTGGCTCCAGCTTCCCTACGCGTAAAATGATTCACATCATCTGTCAAATTTCTGTCATGAACATACAGCCTGGCCTTTACCACAGTCCTTGGCACGTGTTAGGAACTCAAAAATTTTGACTCTGTTACCTGCATAACATTGCAGAAAAAGTCCTGTGGTTGGGCGGAGCCTGTGGATCAAAGGAGAAGGGCGCCGGCCCCATATCCAGGAGGTGCCGGGTTCAAACCCAGTACCAGCCAAAAAAAATAAAAGAAAGAAAAAGTCCTGTGGTAACCTCTGGAGAGGTTGTTGGGGAGAGGTAAGGCTCCAGCCCTGAATCTCCTCCAGAGTGGCACAGGAGCGCCAGAGGCTGCAATCCGTGCTTTTGTGTGGACAATTAGAGTCGGCGGAGCGGGGTACCCTGGCTTCCCGCGAGCGCAGCTCCGCACGGGGCAGTGGCCGTTGGTCCTCCGCGCCGGCCGGTGGCGCTACGACGGGCCGGGTCCGGGCCGGCGCTCGGGCCGGGCTCTTCTCTGAGGTGGCGCACTGCCGTCCGTCCGTCCGTGGGGCGGGGACGCGGCGGCGGCAGCGGTGGCGGCTCCCTGTCCGCGGAGCCTAAGCGCTCAGGCCGGTCTCGGCGGCCGGGGGGCGGGCGGGGTTGGAGCGCCATGTGGTTCATGTACGTGCTGAGCTGGCTGTCGCTCTTCATCCAGGTGGCCTTCATCACGCTGGCCGTCGGTGAGAGTGTGCGACCCCGGCCCGCGCGGTCTTCCGCCGGGGCATCTGTGGTCACCGGGGATCATATCGAGGGGGTTCGGGAGCCACTGGGGAGCCCTTGCCAGGCTCTTCCGGCCTTCACCCCTCCCTTTCCATCCCTTCTGGTCTTGCCACTTACGCTGAGCCCGGCAGCCCCACCTGACCGTGGATCCTTCCAGGTGTCACAAAGTTTGCCCCAGCAGAGCCCGGGAAAGGGTGATTTAAGTGCCCCTGCCCGCACCTGCGAACCGACAACCGCTGCCGCTCGCACTCGCGAGCTGACCTCACCGAACTTTTCCCTAACACCGCCCACCGCCCTTTGGCCTTCGGCCCTTCGTGCTTGCTGCTGTCTCCGCCTTTGATACTCTTTCCCTCTCCTGACTAGTTCTACTCGATCTCGTTTGAGATCTCACCTCCCCTGGGAAGCCCTCCTTAGGAGTTTGATGGTCCAGCAGTGCCGTCTACTTTGCCTAAAGTAGTGTGTCTAACACTGGGATCATCTGACTCCCCTCCCTACTTGCTACCCTTCTTCCAAGCTGGGTCAGGGAAAGGTCCTTATCTATCTTGTTCTGCTGTATTCTCAGCACTTAACCCAGCACCTGGCTCAGCAGGTATTTTTTAATTGAATTAATAAGTGCACAGCAGGTATTTTTTAATTGAATCAAAGAAATTCCACTTCCTGGGGCAGAGGTTAGAATTGTGCTGAGGGATCAAATGCAGGCTTCCACTGATTTTTATGGAAATTTAACCTTAGTTGCCATAACAAACTCCAAATTTAGAAAGGCAACACATGGGTTTGATTTGTTCCTCATCTTCTAAAGTCCATGAGGGTTGATGGGGACTGGGCTTCAGAGAGAAGAGTGACCAGAATGGTGGGAGATGACTCTGGCTGATCCTTCTTGCCCTCTCCCCATCCCCTAGCGGCCGGACTCTATTACCTGGCAGAACTGATAGAAGAATACACAGTGGTCACCAGCAGGATCATAAAATACATGATCTGGGTAAGTGGCAGTTTTCTCAAGGATTCACCCTCACTCTTTTGGTCTGCGGGGATGTGGGGATAGTTTGGCATGGATGATGAGACCTCTCTGCTGTTTCCTGAGGGTAGCACTCCTACCTCTTTGCCCTGAACCTTGTCTTTTGGGTATGTTCTTCTGGGTCCAAATCTTCCTTGGCCTCCTGTCCAGGTGGCGTTGCTTCACTGCAGACCTTGCTTTCCATTCTTTAAGGTGACAGCCAAGCATACATTTTCTGTAGATAGGACCAAGCTTTGCCTTTGCTTGGCTTTCTCCCACTATCTTTACCCCCTTGCTCTGCTCACAGCATTTAAAACTTAGAAGAACCCTGAGATAGTTGAGTATTTATTCATTGCCCTGTTTCTAATCGGATCAAGTGATTTGTACTAAGACGGGAGCACATTCTGCGGCTCTGGCCCTGCCCTCACCTTGTCTCAAGGGAGGCTTCTTTTCCAGAAGACACAGTCTTTGCCATTGATGTCAAAGCCACAGGAGTAACTGCTGGTGGACAGATTTCCTCCAGCTGCAGAAAGGAGTTGGGGTGGAAGCACATTTGGATAAGAAGAGTCCACTGCCTCTCAAGTTACCTGGGTGTTAGCAGCCACTTTTCTGGGCATGGCCTGGGATTGGGAGTTAGTGGTGGAGACAAGATCGTGGCCCTCAGCTCTGGGATCTGAGGCCTAGCTTGTGGATATTGGTACTGGAATTACACCTTCATTCAGCCAAGTGTCATTTGTTAAGCACTGAAAACTAAGTCTTTCAGAACAGTATTTTTTAAACTGCAGGCATGATTTATTATTGGATTATATAATGAATTTAGTAGGTCATAATCAGCATTTTAAAAAATGGAATATAAAAGACTAGAATTGAAACTTGAGCTGTGGTCATTATGTGTGTGTCTGTGTATGTATGTGTGTTGGGGTCACAGTGTAAAATGATTTTCTTACTGTGGGTTCTGTCAAAAAAGTTTGAGAAATGGCATTTAAAAATACTGACTTTTGGGAGCTGAGAGTCTAGTTAGTGAGGCCAAAATTATGACTGAAGCATGAACCTAGTGCTACCTGGAGTGGGCTGGGAGTTAGTAAGCTTAGGAAGGCTGTCTGGAAGAGGCTTCCTGCACTGTGTGCCTCTGGTTGTTTCAGTTCTCCACGGCTGTGCTGATTGGCCTCTACATCTTTGAGCACTTCCCCACCAGCATGATTGGCGTGGGTCTCTTCACCAACCTCGTCTACTTTGGCCTCCTCCAGACCTTCCCCTTCATCATGCTGACCTCGCCTAACTTCATCCTGTCATGTGGTGAGAAGGGACAGAGTTGGGGAGGCACCTGATGTGGTTGGATGTGCCCATCCCAGTCCCTGACACATAAGGGCATGCAGAGAAAGGAGGCCAGGCTGATTAGGATGATAAGGTTTTATCTCATGAGGACCCTAGAGCCCACCTTGGTTCTGGTGACTAGAACAGTTTAGGGGTAGAAATGAGGTGAAGGGCTTTCCCAGAGATATAAGTGTGAAAAGGGCTTGGGAATTGAGAAGAGGTTATGGTTTGGCTGAGGCAGGAGCTCCAACTGAGTAGTTTCAACATCAAAGAAACTACTGGCCAGGAAAAGCGTTAAGCCCTTCCTTGGCTGGCAGGCAGGCAGCTCCCTGTGCAGTTCTCTGACCCAAAGTCAGGGTAACGTTGGAACCTCATGGGGCTGTGAGCCCCCTGCAGAACCTGGCCTGCATGCATGCCTCATGGAGCTGCCTTTGCTCCCTTTTCTCCCTATCACAGCTGCCTTGGGTGAGGGCCTGTGTGTGGAGGATGCTGGCCTTCTTGCCTTTGCCCTACTATCACTTTCTTTGTTTTTTTAATTTTCTTTCCTTTTTTCTTTGGAGACAGAGTCTCACTTTGTTGCACTCTGGGTAGAGTGCCATGGCATCATAGGTCACAGCAATGTCAAACTCCTGGGCTCAAGCAATCCTCTTGCCTCAGCCTCCCCAGTAGCTAGGACTACAGGCACCAGCCACAACTTGAGGCTAATTTGTCTATTTTTAGTAGAGACAGGGTCTTACTCTTGCTTAGGCTGGTCTCAAACTCCTGAGCTCAAGCAACCCACCCACTTCTGAGTCCCAGAGTGCTAGGATTACAGACATGAGCCACCATGCCTGGCTGCTGCTACCACTATCTGAGCCTAGGATACATTTCTCTTCTCTGGATCTAGCTTCTCCATCTCTTTAGAGATGATGTTTCTGACAAAACTGTCAACACAGTAGGTGCTAACAGATATTTACAAATATTCATGCAAAAGATTTGGAAAGTACTTGGTAATCAGGAGTGCCATTTCTCCTGGTCTTTTGTTGTT